GTCGGAACAAGATAATGTAGCCATCCCTTCTACTCCAACAGTTTCTTATCTCGCAACTCCCGTCCATGGAACTCCCTTCCTATCACTTTTTTCCCTGGTAGCTATAATCCTCAAAGATTCAAATGTAATATCAATCGACATCTTTTAGATGCCTTGACCTTGATCCCTGTCCTTCTCTTTATCTTTTTCTCAAACACTCCTCTTTACTCTCACTCTCTGTAACCTCTTGCGTGCTAGTGGCACACATGCCTTGCTTGGGGCGAATTGTTTAAAAAAAGTAATAACATAATGAAATATATTATTCTGCTTTTACAATTGAATATATGGTAGATGATACTAAGATTTTGTGCATAGAAATGTTTGAATGGTCATAATTACTAGAGGCGGTGATGTGCATGTTTTATGTTGGAGTCATATTTTGGAATACAGTTTAGTTTAAGAAATTGCAGGATATTATATGGATTGATGTCATGAAAGAAATATTTAATGTTCGTTGGTTGATTGATTTTGTTTGGCAACATATCAGCATCTATGGGTTATTGAATACCAAAATCTAAATCTTTTGAACGCAATTGCATACCTTCAGCTACAGATAAAATGTAGTGTTGTTATTTTGCTACAAAATATATTCTTGGTCAAACTACTATAAATAGGTTTTGCTGGTAAATTTATAATAGATATATATGTTTATAATAGATATATATGTTCATAATTTTGGTGTTTTCTTTTTAGTGGCTGATCACTATTTCCCCATAGCTGGGATCCTAACATGTTATACAACACCGGGTAAGGGTGGACTTTGAAATAACAGCATACCCAGGACTACCAAACCGTTAGTGTATTATCATCAAGGGGCTGTTGGGGAAAGATTCCATGGGTCACCGTTTGAATTAAAAAAATGAGAGAAAACATTGCTGCGTGTTCAAATAAAATTATATTTATTTAAATGATACATAAATTTTAGCTGTACTTACTTATCATGAAATGAAAGAAAGTATTTCTCCTTGACTCTAAGGAAATGAATATGGATAGCCTTTGAGTGAGGAAGAGAGAAAGTTGGGAAACAAGGTCAAAGGGAGTCCGGTGTTGCTTTGACTCGTGTCTCTTTACTGCTGTCAGTCATTCTCTCTGGTTGAATGAATGTTTTTATGGTCTTGTGTAGATTCTAGAGGCGTGTGTTTATTAACTGGCTGGAGCTGATTTTATTGGCTATTTATTTTTATAAATTGAAAATTTGAATTATGCTTGAAACCCATAAAGACGCGCGGATCCCTTGCGCGGTGTGTTTAATTTTTTCATTTGCTCATTTGATTTGATATTTTTCACTTCCGCCTACACTACAGAGTAAGTAACATTGTAACTTCATGTCAAAATGTATAGATGTTTAGCATTACTATTTAGAATGATTAAAAGGGTGTGTAAATATATTAATTCAGGAAAAGAAGTGGACTCTCAACCCGGACATTATTTTCCGAACATAGCAAGAAATTTCGTGTCTCGTGAATTTTTGGATAAGATTAAAAATGTGAAAACGTTAAAAATGAAAAAGTCATAATTCCATGATTTTTAGGAGATTTAAAACAAAAACAAGACAACAAAAATTATAAGAGTTTACGAACAATTATTTGAAATTATTTGGAATTTGGAAATTGGAATAAAAATGAAAGAAACCTTTTCGGGTTAAATTTTAGCAAAACCTATTCAGATGAATTCTTTGGGGCGAATTATACCTAACATAATATATGTAGATAAATGAGTGTCTATATGAGACCGAGTGGCTCAAACATTTGCTTTCCCAATATTAAACCCGGGTTCGAATCTTACAATGGAATGTTATCGGATTTTAACGTGACTTGTTTTGACGTTATCGGCCTGCGGAGCACACCCACACCTGCAACATATTTGGAAAGCGCCTGACAACCATACCAGGAGTTGATCCAAGACTTCTGAGTGAAATTGGGTAGGGTGAATTAATGGTTGTGATAGCACGAAGTCACAAGTCATCATGACTGAAGGTTTGAGTGTACTGTTCTTGTTCCAACTGTCTGGTGATCACGCCAGATGCTGTGTTCTCTCTCTCTCTCTCTCTCTCTGAGTAACTACGTTTCGCTCATCAGAGTTGCAGCATGAACCACAGATAGGCACGAGGGATTCTGAACTGTATTTGTACATAAAAGAATATAACGAATTTGACTGGAATTCGAAATCAGTTCTCTGTTTCTTCAATCCAAGTCGCTATCCATTACTCCACCGTGCTTTTCATCGAATGCGTTAATGCAACATCGTTTAAAATGGGGCCGATAACATTGGCATTTTACAGTAAGTCCCCGGTTTACGACAGTCACAACCTACGACGATTCGTAGTTATGCCGTTTGCTTCGAACATACGACTGTATGCATACGTCCATCCCTATTGACTTTGGTTTGTTGTGTTTTTATATACCTTAAACATGATTTATGTACCTTGTCACTTACATAGAAATGAATCATCCTCATCTCTTTCGTATTCCATTAGTAAGAAGTAAGTTCCCTCGGAAAAATTATTCCCTCGAATTGTTGCTTTGTGGAACAGACTCCAGGAAAGATATTATTGCGTTCACTGTAATCTTGACCTCGTCAAATCTAGAAATAGTCATTATCTTTCCTACATAACCTCACGAACTGTACTTCTTGCCTTTATTTATGCTCATACAATAATATAGAGAAAAAAAACACTATCCATATATATGAAAACAATAACTCTTTGGATAGTAATATATCTTGCAACATTAGCTTTATTTGGGAAAAAAAATCATAACAGTTCCAAGTTTAGGTCCATGAAGTCTACATCATTTCATAAATCTAAGACAAAAGCTTTGCTGTGTTGTTAGTCCAGCGTATGATGATAAATTCTATCACTAAGGCGAGATGGCGAGATTAGCGGTTTTGAGGATCGTTAATCAACTTATATTGTTCGCAGGTCTACCCTAATCCTATGTAGTATCAGCTGCTAGGGTCCTAGCTATGGAAAAATGATGAACTATCCCATCCCCGAAAAAACACTATGAAAGTATAAAAATACACTTTCGTAGTAAAAAATTTCAGAAATACATTTTTATATAAAACAATTACCAAAAATATCTATTAGTAGTAAAATTACGAAAAATACTAATTATCTGTGGTTGAAGGCATTCATTTCTGTTCAAAATATTTTTGGGGGTTAAAACCATAACGTTATTGAAAATATTTAGATAAAATTAATTTAGATTAAATAACTGCTAAAGGTTGAAATGTCAATAAACAAAATTAAACAGACAACCAACATGAAGGAACCCTTTCGTGACATTAATCCTTATAATATCCTGCAATTTCTTAAAGAAATCAAACTGTATTCAAAAATATAACTTCAAAAAAATGTCAACATTAAACTCACACACGCACACACACACACACACACACATCACCACCTCTTATAATTATGTCCACACAAACATTTATATACACAAAAGCTGAGTATCATCTACCATGTATTCCATTGTGAAAGCAGAATAATATACCTATTTTTATTACTTCAATGCTCCAAAGAAAATTAAATTTTGGCATAAAGTGACCCATAAGGAGTTGATATACCGTTAATCAAAACAAAATTAGTGTGTTGTTGAACCCTACTGTTGTGTCACCCTCTGATGGGGGTTTGTCTTGGGGTGACGGTGATCGCTCGCTAACAAAGTTGCATTTTTCTCTCGCGGCCGGTCATCGCTAGTCGGTTTGGTTCGACTGATTTGGTTGAGATAAAAGAACTTCAACAAAGAGAATTTTAACATTAACTATTCTGATTAACATCGACGTATACATCTCTAACTATCCAGTGGGTTTGCTCTCCCTTCACTGGAAAGCAACTTCCAGATACGAAGAGAAAACACGTCTACATTACTTGCATTAAGAAGCAACTCTCTCTCTCTCTCTCTCTCCCACGCTGGCTCAGCCAATCAAAATCGGCTTCCTCTTTTTTTGCCATGTATCTAATCCCTAAGGTCGACCTCAGGATGTCCAAGCAGAGATACACTTCTCTAAAAAAGAAAAAAATCATAGTTTGCTAAATTATTATTTAACACCTTCAAAAACAAAACAAAGAAAAACCCCAAATCAAAAATAGTATGCCAAATATTTATGCATATCTCTATCGTAAGACCAGTAAAAACTGTCAGGAATACACCAAACCAAAACATTCTGGACAAAAGAATGCAAAACCCGGATCCCTGATATGCAAACTGAAAAAAACGGATCAGCAACCTGGGCCTGATGCCACAAGGGAACTCATGTCAAGACTTATCTCAAGTTCGAGGTGAATAAACAAAAGATGCTTATTAAGGAATTGTCGTGGCGAAAGATAACAGGCAACAACGTCTTTCGCTGGGGATATGTAGACAGCTTAACCAGAGTATTTAAATGGACGGCAAAATATGTATTTAGATAGAAAGAAAGGAAGCAAACATTGATTAGAGAAAAAGGAGAACGTTGTGGAGATCAGGAATAGTCCACCTCCCGAAGGGATACAGAACATAAAAAAATATAGGTATGTGGAATGAAACAAGTAAATATGTTGACATATTTTCACACAAAAGAATAATTTATCTAAATGTTTGTTAACACAATATCATTTAATTTTAAGCTTCAGTTTTAAAGACATTCAAAGCGTACCTCATTAATTAAATGAAAATTTCCATTGACTTTCAAAAGTTATTTTTAGCTAAGTTGCTGATTCAGCTAACACATGAAGATGTCGATTTGTTTTTATTTATGTTTTATTATTAAAAGCACTCGATACACAAAATTGACGTCCGATCTTAAGAAAAATAAAAGTGTGAGATTTGTGTAAACCGCGTAGCAGTGTTTCTCATGCAATATTTAATAGAAAAGATTTATTGATTTGAAAGTGTAAATTGCATTTTGAAGTTTAAGTCAGGTTAATTGATAAGGTCGACATTAATAAAGAACTATTAAGACAGTTTTTCCCGATGCTAAATTCTGCTTGCGGCAGTGGTATAACAAACTGATAGATAGATAGATAGATAGATAGATAGATAGATAGATAGATAGATAGATAGATAGATATGAACATACTGTGGTAGATACAAACAGATTAAGATAGAAACATAGAGAAAGTGGGTGAGAGTTGAACGGAGATACATACATATATAGGAAAAAGCAGAGACGCAAACGCAGACAGATAGACAGACACACATACAGAAACATAAATAGAGAGAGAGAGACTTGTGTGTAAACGTGTGTATATGTGTGCATGTGCGTATCAATGCTTTGTTTCGAGATAACATGCGTATTGACATGTAGCCACAAAACTGAACAAGATCCCAAAGAAATGAGATAGATAGATAGATAGATAGATAGATAGATAGATAGATAGATAGATAGATGGAAAAACAGAAGCAAAATGAAATAGATAGATAGATAGATAGATAGATAGATAGATAGATAGATAGATAGATAGATATGAGCAAACTGGCATACATACACCCTGTCCAAAGTTATTAAGCAAATCATATAAACATCAATAATTCAAATTTGGTTTGAAAAAGAATTGTCAAATTTTAAACAATGAATTTAGAGCTCAAAACGAAGCCTGAGTTAAAATTTCAGGAAGTATCAATGCTTATTGAATTTATTTGATATATTCTAAAATATGCCGTCTGAAGTTATTAAAAAGATAAATAAATAATCACATCTTACTTCAATAAAAAGGTTATAAAATCAAGAAAAATTGATCAGAACAAATAACAAACACATATGATAAATCTTTGAATCTTTTACGTTTTTATATAGTGCCCATTCTTCTCAATAACAATCAGTAATTTGTCATCCATTGATTTTTTTTATTTTTATTTGATTTTTTTTTTTTTTTACTTTAGCAGGTTCATTTTCCGACATGGTAGTTTTAACTGCTGTTATATTTTTTGCCAGTTTCATATAATTTCATCTTCACAACTGACTATAGATTTTCGATGGGCTTCAGATCAGGACTTGGTGGTGTCCATTCCATTATCTTCTCTCTTGTAAATCTTTTATGCACAAATAATGTACGGGTATACTTAGATAAATGAGAAGGTGCATTGCCATGCATAAATACACACTTCACTTTGAAACTGCCAGACTGGTCCATCAAATGTCACTAGAGATTCGTCAGTAAAAATTACTTTAGAAAAGTAAATTGTATGTATTTATTGACCCAATTTTGACACTTTAAAATATTTGCTTTGGTTTGCCTAGGAAATTTTATTACAGATCCCATTTTTCAAAATATTCTACATCTTTCGCCCTTCTTGACTGCCTCAATTCCAGCCTTTTCAAAGATATCAGAGTTGGTCAAAAGTTGTTCTTACGCTATATCTCACTTTAACTTACGTTCATTTCGAGGAAGCAGTTTCTCATAGTCTTTTCCTTTGCTTCGAGATTAAAACTTACTTATATGTTTAACAACTTTTTTATCGTTCAATGATCTCTGCAAAGCTCCTTTGATATTTCCAATATGGACATTCTCTCGCTCAATAATTTTGTTATTTTCTGTTTTTCAGCAGTTGTTAGTTTTAACTATTAACCATGCTTTCACACATATTAAGAACAAAAAGAAAAAAAAGGTTTTTATTAGATTTCAGAAGTCTTAATCTAATATTAGTTTAATCTGCGTATAACTTCAGTCAGTCCATTTTCATAAATTCCAAACATCTCAAAAGTTAGCCATTAAAAATGGCAGAGAATTTACTTAAATATTTTACTATGGGTGGAAATAGACGTTTTAAATTTGACAGATATTGGTTAAGAAGTGTTTGGGTTATGGAGGTTTATTTTATTTGCGTAACAATATCAGACAGGCTGTAGATACGAACAGACTGATAAATACAAAGATATTAAGATAGAAAAATAGAGAAAATGAGCGGGAGTTGAACATAGATACATTGATATATAGGAAAAAGCAGATAGATAGATAGATAGATAGATAGATAGATAGATAGAGGACTGATAGACAGACATGAACAGTCTGTGATAGTTATGAACAAATTAAAATAGTGAGAGGTTCTTGCTTTGTCTTTTAATCGATGTCACCCCATGGAAGGCAGTAAAGCCACTAAGACACAACGGGTTACTGAGTATGAAAGAATTAGGAACTGAAACATTAATAACGAGCGGGAAGATAGCGATTTACATTGCATTTAATTTTTTGGAGATTAAAGTTGGCTGGAAAGCATGGGGGCGAAACAAGCGAGAAGTGCGAGAATGGAAACTGTTAGCCTAGAAGTTATATAACTTCCGGATCCATCTAGCCATCTCAACTGTAAATTGATGAGATTTTGTCAGATGTGATACATGAATAGATAGATAGATAGATAGATAGATAGATAGATAGATAGATAGATAGATAGATAGATAGATATGAAATGAGATACATAGATATATAAGAACAAAAAGAGAGACTATAATTAGATACATAGATATATAAGAACAAACAGAGAGATACGAACATATTCAGACAGCTATCAATAGATAGATAGATAGATAGATAGATAGATAGGAATAGACTGGCATATATAGATATGAAAGGAGGCCTGAATGCACTGTGATAAATTGATTTAAATATATATATATAAACAAGCAAGTATTATTTCTTACACAGGTTTACATAGTCATAAACACTCAACTTGCGTTAGAATCGCACACATTTACCAATGCAGTATACACGTCTGGTGCAAGAGAATTGAGAGTCACCGTCCTTGAAGGGATGTCCAATAAATAGATAATATTTGCAATCCTATTTTAAGCACTCTGTCCACGACAGCACCCCTCTCGTATTTCTGAAACACAACACCTGCAGTCAGTCGAGTTTCTGGAGTGACTAAATCTGAGATTTCTTTACTAAACTTAGAAACGATTTGAACGAATGTTCATCTAAGAGAGAAGAGAAGAAGCAGTAAACTGGTTGAAAATCTGGTACAAGATAAAGGCAAAGTATATTTAGGGCAGACATCCAATATTTCTTCCTACCTGGCGCCAAAGGATGTATAAATAAAATCAGGGTCTATAGCGGTGATTTCTCAACCAGTGTTTCGCGGCACACTGGTGTGCCGTGAGAGGATCGTAGTGTTGCGCTGGAACTCAGACCAGACATCAGGTTCTTTTGACAGGCTTTCATTTTCTGTCAGTCAAACACATGTAGATTAAAAATACTCTTCGGCCAAATCGTTTCCCACGAGTGAAGAACAAAACAATTTCTAGCAGTAAACGAGATTTTATACTTACGTTGTAACCTATTGCTATATACGAGCGAAGTAGGAATGAGACGTAGGTGAGGTGGTGGTGCACAGTTCAGCGGCAGTCTTCCCTGATCGCTCTGCTAGGCCCGCTTCGTTCTTTTTGTTTGCCTTTTCGCGCGGTGGTCAGTTTTAGAAACAATAATTTTCTTTGTTTTGTCATCTTCGTCTAAAAAAGTAATTGACCTTCCTCCCGTCATTTTCTCTCAGTTTGGGCCTCTTGCTCGTGTATTTTGAATTTGAGTGCCATTACTGATAGCCATCAGTTGAAAGTAAATGTTCCTTATCGTGTTGTGCGACAGGCCTCGCTGGTTGCAATCTAGCAAGACCTCAGCTGACTTATATTTCTATAGTGGGTGTCCCTCTAAAATAATCACAGGTTACTAATTAAATTTTTTTTTAAATAAATCCCAAAGAACAATAAATATACATATCAAAATTAAAGACCATTTTAATTGATTATACGAATATAATAGTGTTATAATAAATAAACGTATACATAATATATAAAGTTTGTCGTGAAATAAGTTAACGCGACACGTTCATTGATAACGCGATTTGGCAAGGACTTACCGATGAACACCGAGATATGTCGAAATCATCCGAAGTTGATTTTGGATATGACTCAGCATTCCATAATTGTTCACGTATGGAGTTGTGTCAGTTATCCGACGATATAATAAAGATTAATTATCATTCGTTTTCATACGTAGTGGAAGAAATCCACCACGTCTGCAATGCATAATCAGTAGCGACACATTAACAAATGAAGCTATGATTCCTAGAAAATTAAATAGAGATTTACAAATCAGACATTGTCCCTCACCCCAAAAGCCCCAGGAGAATGGTTTAAGAACAAAAATATTCAGCAAAAATATGGACCAAATATGCAACGGTATCAGATGCATAAATATCGTATAGACTCTATACAAACATTTCCACCAGCGGTGACATTTACTACCCCTGATTGCTCTACTAGGTATAGTTGAAATGTATTTATATGCGCGCAGCGTAGCAGTTATCGGGTACGTAACATAGGATTAGCGTGTTAAGTTCAATTTCGAGATGAGGTCGTCGTGTTCGTTTTCACAGAAATACAATTGGAAACGTCTCACCTAATCTAAAAGTTAATAACAGATAAAAATGATTTCTCTAGCTTTGGACAGGGAAGACATCTTTGAATTCAAAATCAGTTGGCTTTTGGGCTAACAAATCCACTACGAAAAAAAAAACAGCTTACTATGGAAACTGCAATAACTACCGTGGGGGGGGAGGCGATTGTAATATAATAATTTCTTATACTAAAGTTGCCACAATAAAAGACTCTAAATTCACTCACCTTAGAGAGTTACTATTAAAATGCTTACTGTTAAGTGTGATATGAATGAAAGAATAGATGGAAGCAAGTGAAAATTATGACAATAGACCGCGATTGACTCTAACAGATTGACGCTGATTGAGAGAAGACATAACGATTGTCTCTTGTCTTGAAGAGGTTAGGATTCCCGTGTTCATTCGCACGTGAAACTGTTCTACAATGTAATAGTTCATGGGTCAAAGCTGTCTTAGTGAAACGTTGTCTTTACACTTAGAATGCTAAGAGAATGAAGGTTTTTCGTCTCAATGGAAGTGGCACAGTGAATCTTACGCTAAAATAATGGAATTTAAGAATGCAGGTCATCTGAACATTTTTCCATGGGAATCAACAAGATTAATTATTATCATTTATCAAATTTGAAATCACAAATCTTTACAGAAATAGTTACGTATTTATCACTGGTTAAGGGATGAACATTAAGTTTTAAAATAAGCCAGAATTTAGAGTGTGGATATTCAAAGTGTGCATAATCTCTCGCAGTTGCAAGACTGTTGTAAGATAATCTTTTAATCTCTTTATTTCGAAGAACCGGTCTTTTGCTTGGGTAAGATAAACTTAATAAATACAACATGTCTCTGCAAGTAGTAATGATGATATTAGAACTTTTATTATGTCAAAACATTTATCATTCATTGACTGAGAAATCAGTACCACTTACGGTTGAAATTTATTAAATCCTTCGATGAAAGCAATATTTAAGGAAAATAAGTTCCACAAATCGACTAACTGCTTTCGCCCTTTCTGGTATAAATGACCACTTCATTGCTAAATGGTTTCTTTGAATAGTGCCGAATGTCAACATTATGATTATTCATTATTTTTTATTCTTGATTGATCTGGGAAAAGCAGTTGTATTCAATAGACAGTTTAAATATTTCTAAGCGGGTTTGGCGCCAGGCATTTTATCAATATTTAAGTTTCAATCTGATGAAATTATTTAAAAATAAAATATATTGAATTTTTATTTTAAAGATTTTATAGCAATTAGGATAAATTAATCCCAGCATGATCTAATTTATGTTCAATTTCCTTAATTCTTTTGTGAAAACTGATCCATAAACCGAGATATATAAAGAGGTTACTGTTTACTAATTCTACGTCCTGAAATTTTATGATGGATTCAGGGTAGATATCATCGCAAAAGTTTCTAGCAAATGACAGCTGGCAACTTTTACGTACAACTATATATATATATATATATATATATATATATATATATATATATATATATATATATATATATATATAAACAAACAAGTTTGACTGAACAAAAACGGCAAAATCCGTCTGTCTAATTTTGTATTATATTTCCTCAATTTACAAATAACGCATGGAGCATTGCACTCGAAATTATACGATGTTCATATTTTTATTGTTCAAGTAATTTCTCCATGATCTCAGTACTTGAAACCAATTTGGAAGACAGAATTTCTATGGTACCCAGAATTCTACAGTCTGCATCCTGGTATGCATCGTAGCCAAAGGACTTCTTGTTACCTTTTTAAATTTATTTAGCCTACATAAATACACATTTATTTTAACAAACATTTATTTTTTGGCCTGCTTTACGATCTTACCTTTGTACTCCACGGGATTTATACTGTGTTGATTAAAATTATATATATATATATATATATATATATATATATATATATATATATATATATTAAGAGTAAGTAGTATGAGAACGTGCAAAATATTTTCGTGTAACGTGTTTCATCCTTCAGCAGACTAAAGTTTTGTTTCCGTTAATAAGACTGCACATGGGAACAAAGTAAATAAGAAAACAAAATTAAATTTAAAATTCTCAATGGCCGCTTTCCTTTGTCCCCATGTGTATTTGTATCAGAGTAAACATAAATTTAGTTCGATGAAGTACTAACGAAATTTTTTCCACTATGCCATAATATATATATATATATATATATATATATATATATATATATTTAACAAATCGGAGACTTCAGAAGGCCATGGTAACATTTTATTTCGCGAGACCTATAAATTCAAATTTCGCTTCGTCAGACCTTGGCGGTTTCAAATGTTTGACGAAGCGAAATCGAATTTATCGGTTTCGCAAAATAAAATATTACCATGGCTTTCTGAAGTCTCCGATTGTTAATTATATATATTACATATATACATCCGATTTGCTAATTAATTATTAATTGCTTGTTTAATACATAGAGCTGTCGGGATTTATATTCTTCCTGGAATTATCTATACGGATTACCGTTTAACTTTAACGTATTATATATATATATATATATATATATATATATATATATATATATATATATATATATATATATATATATGAGTTCTACATGGATTCTATCCTCTTTGAAATATTTATATATATATATATATATATATATATATGTGTGTGTGTGTGTGTGTATGTATGTATGTATGTATGTATATATATATTTATATAGTTTAGATATATGATTGCATATGTACGTATATATTAACCACTAATATTATCAATATATATATATATATATATATATATATATATATATATATATATATGTCGAAATCGATCACGAATCCCATGACCCATCAAGATCGTATGGTACTATATGTACTGCAACTACAGTAGAAGTGCTGTTTCATGCGCATTATTGACTGACGGAGTACAATCATCATCTTCCTCTGTTCCTTCTCCTACACCTGTTTCTACCCAATTCTATAGACCAAGTCTGTCCTGCTATTTACCCCATAGCTGGCGGGTGAAGTAGAGGATTCATACCTTTCCCAATTATATTAGCATGCAAGTGATTGTAATGAGTCAGACAGGAATTCGGACTCGGCACTCCGATTCCTCCGAGCCCCTATCCATTACTCTACCGTGCCTCATATATATATATATATATATATATATATATATATATATATATATGTGTGTGTGTGTGTGTGTGTGTGTGTGTGTGTGTGTGTGTGTGTGTGTGTGTGTGTGTGTATAAACCTAAACATTAATCAAAAAATTACCCATCTAAAAATAATTACAAATTACATTCATAAATTAGATTCAAACTGATAAAGGTGTTACCGTAACTGTCTTTTACAATGTTAAAAAAGTACTATTGGTCAGGTAAACAAACTGTTATAATTTAAATTTTTTTTAATATGTTCTCTATAAATGTGTTAATAAATATAGTATTTAACTTATATTAAATCCCTAAATTATTTGTAAAAAAAGTTAAATATTTAAATTGCTAGCAAGCATCAAATTAATTTCTTCGGGTTTTTTTAGACATCTAAATTACTATCAAGCATTAATATCTATTCTTTACATAAATTGCTAAAACCCAGTTACAGCCTCTTTCTCTTTACTTCCCCCTCACTCTTCTTTCTCTTTCCTTTTTCATTTGTCTCTTCTCCCCCCCCCATTTCAATATAATCACTTCCGTTAAGTTAACCGTTTAAATAGATCAAGGTTTGGTCACTTCTCCTCCCCCAATACTAAATATAATTGAGAGAGATATTAAATTAAACCCTCTCTAAACTCTAGCATGTCTCTTTAACTAACCCTTTTATACTCTCTGTTAAATTACAAAAACTTACACTACCCATCAATTTCCATTTCATTTTTGGAAGTGCTATCTGATGAACCGGCGTCTTTTAAAAGGGCTCTGGTGAAATAAATTATTATAATGGTACCTTAAAGTGGTCTGTTTTTCTTTAATATATATAGGCTGTGTTCTAATAATCCTAACAGAGTGAATCGGTACTTTGAACCTTCATATATCTTACTTTCAGGAAGCTACTAAAAACAGCAGGAAACACAGAAAAATAAATAAATATCAGATGTTGAAATTCAATTTTCATCCATGCAACAAAGTTTTATATCGCATGAATTCTCTTGAGAAAAGACATACCACACCACACTTCCTGTCCCCTGAAAGATAACTCGACAAACTATTCCTCATTGTCATATTGCAGTGATTCACCAAGAAAGAAGCTGTCAGGTCATCTGTTCCTCGTTGCTGCTGGTACGAAGATCGGTTTTCTAATTGGAGTTCCGTTTGAAAGTACAACTCTACTATTTTTCTTTTTAATTTCACGGTTTGAAACTTTTAGGGATACATTTAAAGTAAGCTTTACTTTTGCTCGTAATGAGAAGAAAGTCAATTCAAATTCAAATTTTAGCTTGTAACTCTATCCGGCGCAGAACTGCAAAATTAATTTGTCCTTAACATATATAGTATCACATGATTATCTCGCACGTGCGGGAAAATAACTCCAGGGTCTTCAGTTTCCGATTGGCAGACCATACTCTACAGACCACCCTTTACTTACCTCTGACGGCCGGAGAGATAATGGCTTCACATAGATAAGTCTGTTGAAACAATCTGTCATTCAAGTAAGCGAGTATTTTCTTTGTCAGCATTCGTTCTGCTGTTTCATTACATACAAACATACAAGCATATATATATATATATGATTATACAGGATTCATTTTAAAATTGTTTTCATTATTGTTGTCTTTATTACTATATTTGCTATTTTTGATAGCTTAATTGGCAACATTGGCGACTATGTTCTTAGCTTTTTATCATATTTTCTTGCATAGAATACGAATTGAATATTATACAAAACCGTGTTTCTGAAGCTAAAAACGGGGAATAAATTACATCTTTGAGTATAATACGACCCCACACTCTCATACTTATATAAATTTTTTAAAAGGCTGTACCATATTATAAATTAAAATTCAATGTCGTACATAAATATCAATGAAATATTTAATTTTGCACGATATTAAAGAATACAAATAAAATAGATGTTTTTTTTTTTTATTGCGTATTTCTTCTTCATTTCAAAATTTATTTTCGGAGGTGTTTAGTTGCAAAATTAATTCTATCAAAACATACCAGTTTTTGTGTATTTTCTTTAGCAATTTTTTTTTTTAGTGAATTTCTTGTCTTTTAGCAAAAGACATTTAATCCCGCTGATTCCGAAAAAAAAAAACAAATAACGCCGACATGTGAAATACCTTTTGTAAACATTTCGTATCAACAACTGTCTACTTCTGTTTTATTATCGATAAGGTTAACCGAGAGTATTTGCAATCTTGCTGTTTCAAATAAAAGGTTATTTAAGTAAAACTTTCTGAAAACCTGAACTTACAACCGCTGAAATCCTAAGCCATATGAAATTCGAAGACCTTCTTTAAAAATATTCGGATGAAAGAATTTAAAGTAATTATACATGATTATTATTTACTAATGATCAAAAATGACTGAATTTTAAGCAATTAATTGATTTATTCCATTAGACAACCCCGGAATTCAGCCAACACTGGGGTTGATAAGACAGACGACAGATATCTTTGTAGGGTGAAATAGGCTTTCCCTATGTATTAATAATATTTCTCTGTATTAATTAATATATTTATCTTTTTTTGTGGATCAGCCTTAATATCTTATATTGCTAGGATCCACTTGGATTATATACCAACGAAAATTTTTACCTATATATATATATATATATATATATATAAGCATCATCCAAGAGCAAGGTCTCTGATCAGGAGGTTTTGAGGAACGTGGAACCACCTCTTAATTGCTGGTGTTCCCAGGTCCCCCCTGAACCGGGGTCGTACCACTTGTTTGGGTCCCAGCTATGGGCAAATAGTTAACACCTAAACTGGAGTCAAAACACTATGAAAGTGAAAATATAGGTTTTAATACCAGGAATCATTTTTTTTTGTAAAAAATTATTACCAAAAGTACATTATTATCAGCAATAAATTTAAAAAAAAATATTACCAGCAATAAAAATCTCTTGTCGGCATTAAATAACCCATTGAGGTTGATATGCCGTAAAACAAAGCAAAACAAAACAAATACACATACACACACACACACATAAACATACAAGCATATATATATATATATATATATATATATATATATATATATATATATATATATATTTTTAAAATTCATTTTAAAATTGTTTTCATTATTGTTGGCTTTATTACTATATTTACTATTTTTATATTAATATTAATGACAGGAAATAAACCAGCAATGTATTTTTATAATAAAATGATCGACAATACATTTAATCATCTACAAATCATATCAACTTATATGAGAAATATATGTAGTTAAATACATAAAATTGTCTTCAAAATAGATATAGCTGGATCCATAAAATTGTATTATAAATATTTATATCTCGGCATTAAATAACCCATAAATGTTAATATATCGCTAAAAAAATCAACCAACCAAATATTCGACGAAGAGGTATAAATTGAGATAGACAGATAGATAGATAGATAGATAGATATGTCAAGAGTGAGATAGATAGATATGGCTACAGGGACATAGATAGATATGGCCATAGTGATAGATTATGGCCATAGATAGATAGATAGATATGGCCAAAGTGAGAGAAATAGATATGGCCATAGAGAGATAGAGAGAGAGATGGCCATAGATAGATAGATAGATAGATAGATAGATAGATAGATATGGTCAGAGTGACATAGATAGATATAGCCATAGATAGAGAGAGAGATGACCATAGATAGATAGATAGACCATAGATAGATAGATAGATAGATAGATAGATATGAGATATCTTATCGTTAAATTTAATTGAAGGGTGTTCCAATAACTTGGACCGATTTTAAATGGGAATTAAGTTTAAGCGTCTAATGATTTGTTTTTCTTTTAGATTTAACGGACTTTTTGTCGATATTATGTTTCATAAATAATTGCCATGACTTAGGCAACAGGATCAAATAGAGAAATAAATAATTTTTTACCAATAACACTGATTTAGTTACTACGGACTTTGATCCGTCTTAATGAAACACCTTTATATATAATCCGTTTTAATGAAACAGCCTTTATAAATAAATCAAAAATGAAAAGTTCCGATAGTCACTTCAGAATTTATACACACACCTTCGTAACACTTTACAACTATGCTGAAATATTCATACTTTTTGTGTCTGCCTTATAAATTCTCTTCGTATCGTCAGCCAGCGCTCCTTCGTGTTGGATGTATTTAAACCGATGGACTTCACTGTCTTTACGATCGTTACAATGGACAGTCTAAAGTGGCGCATTTGTTAAGATTGCATTGAAAGCAAGGCGCGTGCGTGCTGCATCTGAAGGAAACACAGATAATGACCTGTAGAGAGAAAACACGCATAAATTCATTGTCCAGTTGTTCTAGCCACTTGTTCAGCTTCCCGTCTAGACTTAAAACACTCGGAAATAGTGACCGGAAACGAATTCTGTCGTCTTTTTATATGGAGTCAGTTATCTCTTCCTCTCAGCTGAACAAATAGAATCATTTTTTTTTCTTTTTTTATCCGCGCCTTTCTTAATCAGTCGATAGTGGGAGAGTAACAAAAACGTAAACGAGATTTATCACATTTTCTACTTGTCTGTTACCTTCAATTTCGTCAAATACTGTATTCTATGGGCCTCTTCCTGTCTTATTAACTTGTCTCGTGGGTTACATTTCTAGACAAAAGGCGTAAATAGCGACCTGAGCTTAGGAAATGGGCGCCTGCTATTGAGCTGTTTGTTAGCAAACTTATTTATTACTAGCTTAAAAGCCGCACTCCGTCCGTACTTTCCAGCCGTTCCAACAGTAACGATAATTTGGAAGAAATAACATTGAATACCTCAATTCATTCCATGGAACTGCAAAACCTCACTTTAACTCTGATTCGGGCATTAAATCTAACTCCATTCCGAATTGGGCTGAAACTTCAATTTGGACTGAAATTCAAAAGCAGGACAAAACTTGAGTTCTTCAAATCACAAACTCCACGGAACTTCAAAACCTCACCTGACGAAACCTTTCACATTAACTCTGATTTCTTGGCATTTTGGAGAAATAAAATTGATTTTCTTAATTTACAAATTTTGGAGATATTTTAAACTGAATTTAAAACAAAAACTTTTAATTATCCGGATTATCGACCTCATCTTTGTCGCCACATTTATCATAACGTTTCGGACTTTGCCTTCTTCATGTGGCTGGACTGTCGAACTAAACCCTTTATTTCGCTCACTGGGGTAGACTGTTCTAGTTCCACGTGCCATGTTTAATGGATGTCACTTATCAGTTATCTCCTGTTAATTCCTCTCAACCTAGTTCTCCACCGCCCAAACCAGGTATTGAACTCACACACTTGGGTCCTACCACTGGATCTAACTAACAGCTTTATCCACTGTGCCATGTGTCCTTGAGGACACCTGAAGAAGGCCGGAACGTACAAGGACCGAAATGTTGTGATAAATATGGTAACAAATATAAGTACAACAGTCCGAATAATGTAAAGAGTGTATATAATACCTCATCTCAGAAATGTAGACAGATACTGAAAAACTTAGTGTTACTTTAAACTCGATATAAATTTTTAAAAAACTCTAAAATTCAATAATTTTTTTCAATTATTTTAAAATTTGGATTTTTAACTGTTCCCCTCTCATCCAGACACAAGTTCCAATGCCGGTTGTTCAAACAAGAGATGAAGGGCAGATTTTCAGTCGCGAGATCATCCTGATTTCAAAAACGTATAATATGTCTATGTATAGCAAGTATGGCTCGATTAGAGGGGTTTCAGTCACACGGACAGACAGACAGTATTTGCCGTTTATATATTTAGAAGATATATCAGATGATTCTAATTTTTAAATGTTCTCTCCTCATTAAGAGACAAATGCTAACGCTGCATGTTCAAGCACCAGGGAGGGTAGATTTTCAATCCCGAGATCATCTTGATTTCAAAAAGGTAATAATATGTCTATGTTGAGTCAATGTGGTCCGAGTTTCAAGGGTTTACAACATGCGGACAGACAGAATTTTTAGTGTGTTCGAGTCTCAATGTCTAGAGCTTAAATGCTGATTTTAAAAGCAATCATTTATCTTCCTAAGGGATATAGGTAATTCAAGCTTTCATTACGGTGACTAACTATTTGGCTTTCACCAAATGTTTTGTAACTATCATCTGAGCCTAACAAATTTTGTTCTAACTAATCAACCAATTCTACATTATTTGGTATTTTTTATTCAGTCCGCCCCAAGCAATGCAACAATCCCACTAAGACATATTTGAATAAAAAGATTTTAGAATGAAACGGAAAAGCGATCCTAAACATGGAACAAGATATAAATATCTACTTCTATTCAAAAGATCTGGAGGGAGTGTGAACTGGGTGATAGGCGACCCTTTCTACTTCTATTGAGGAGTAACAATAATTAGTATACAAAATTTCAGAATTCAAAGAGAGGCATTAGAAGTGTACATTTAATGGAAACTTTAGAAGGAAGCAGAAAGAAATATCCTAAAGAAGGCACAATGAATATAGCTCTATTTCTGTTCAAAAGACCAGCGAGGGGTGCAAACCGCTTGATAGTCAAAGCCTTAAACAGAATTTTTCATTGAAAAAATAACAGCGATACCTAAAAGAAATCATAAGTTAAAATAATAAAAAAAGAGTTTTAATCAATAAGTTTATTTAAATAGGATCGGAATCATTTTTAAATGTATCTTCCTCAATTTTGGGGTGTTATTGCAATTTATGCAGGGTGCAACAGAAATACCTCCCAAATGTAGCTTCCAGAAATACCTCCGACATGTGACTCCTAGAAATACCTCCCACATGTACCTCCCAAACATACCTCCCACATGTACTTCTCAGAAATACCTCCCACATGAACCTCCCAGAAATACCCACCACATGTACCTCTCAGAAATACCTTCCAGAAATACCCACCACATCTACCTCTCAGAAATACCTCCCACATGTAACACTCAGAAATACCTCTTACATGTACCTCCTAGAAATACCTACCACATGTAACTCTCAGAAATACCTCCCACATGTACCTCTTAAAAATACCTCCCACCTGTAACACTCAGAAACACCTCCTACATGTACCTCCCAGAAATACGTACCACAGGTAACTCTCAGGAATACCTCCCACATGTATCTCCCGGAAATAGCTCCCACATGTACCTCCCATAAATACCTCCCACATGTAAATCCAGGAAATAACTCCCAGAAATACCTAGCACATAATAATAAGGCATTAATGAAAATGGTGTCTTTATTTAGCTAATGTCTCACGATTATGTGAGAGGTATTTCTAGAAGTTATTTGTACGAGTTATTTTGCCCTGCATAATCTTACATTTAGGCATTCTAACAATTCAGAAATAGCTATCACTGAGTCTGTAGAGCTTTTTTTTATATGCACCTTCACATAAATAAGCTTCGGAAAGATATAAATGCATCTCTTCTCTCCAGGCTACGGGTAAAATAACAGGATAGACTGAGTACTCTTTCCTGGTGCTGACACGTCGTCAAGCAGAGAGAAAAATATATTCAAAATCAATCTTTTTTTTTTTTTTTTTTTTTTTTTTTGAAGAAATTCACCCCAAGTAAGGCGAGAGTGCCACTAGCACGCAAGAGGTTACAGACGATCAAGAACAAAAGTAACGAGGGTTTTTTGAGGAAAGAATACAGAGAAAGATGAGAAACAAGCTCAAAGTATCAGATGTCGATTGATATTACACTTGAATATTTGAAGTTTATGGTAATCGGGAAAGCAAGCAAGAGGAAGGGAGTTACACAGACGCGAAGTTCGAGAGAAGAGGCTGTTTGAGTAGAAGAGACGGTTAAATTAAATCGTTTTGACAGTGGAAGGGTGGTACCAAGATGCCGGACTGCTAGCTCGATTAAATTCATGCAGACTGGGAACCAGGTAATGTAGTTCTTCGGAACATTTGCTGTGAAAATATTTGTAGAAGAGACAGAGGAAAGCTACGCCATCTTACTTTAGATAGCTAGATGTGGTTTCAGCACATGTGGTAAACTTATGAACCTTACGGGTGACGTGGTGGTGTTCAGGTAGTTTTTTTTTCGAAGACATCTCTTTCAGAAAGAGTCTCCTTCAAGTGGCATTGCCTTCAGAAGGCATTTCCAATATTTTTGAAAACCGAAAGTTTATTCTTATCTCATGATGGCGACCTGCTTTTAAATTATGCCGGAGCGTAATTCTATATTTGCCAGAGATTGAACTCAAAATTTCCAACATTGTCACTACATTATTTTTATAAAACACGTAATAATGATTTTTGCGACTTAAGTCTTTGTTGGTTGTCTGTATGGTTGGGTAAATATTTAATCAGCACTATATTGCGGAAATCAATACTTTGAAGGTTAGATATTTACGCGCTCCTGGAAAACATATCCCACAAACAATATTGATGGACTCAATGTGAATCCGTGTTAAAATGAGTAAAGAAAACAATATAAATCAAAAACCAACTGATTTTATACATTGATAAAAAGAAGTTACAATAAAAATAAAAGAAAAAACCATTTAAAAGAGTAGTTCCATAGAAAACATTTAAACGAGAGAATGTGTGTTTTTGTGTGTTCGAAATTATAAGGAAAAATCGTATTGGGAAAGCGTTTTGTGTAGGCTCATGTGACAGACACGTGTGTGAAAAGGTTTCAACGTTAAGAGAGTAAGAAAAACGTATGCAAATCTAGTGACCATGTTCTAAATGTAGCTTGACTACATCTTAATGGCAGATTTGAATAACTGTAAAAGATAGAAAGCGGCTATGGAGAGAAATGCATGACTTTATATACGCTTAAGGAGCGCCCTCTGGAGACTTTTTAGCAAAGTCAAGGTGGGATAGTCCTTTACTAACTGGTTGCTAGCATATATATATATATATATATATATATATATATATATATATAATTTTACATTATTCGGACTATTGTCATCATCTTTGTCGCTATATTTAATACAACGTTTAGGGCTTTGTACGCTCCGGCCTTCTTCAGGTGGCTGGAATGTTGAACTGAACTCTTTATTTCGTTCACTGGGGTAGAAATTCTAGTTCCACGTGTCATGTCTAATGGATGTCAGTTATCAGTTATCTTCTGTTAATTCGCCTCTCCAAGTTTTCTACCGCCTTAACCAAGTATCGAACTTACACTCTTTGGGTCCTGTCACTGGATCTAACCAACGCCTTTATCCACAGTGCCATGTGGTGAGAATGGTTGCTGAAGACATGAGGTTTTTAATA